AAGTTGGAAACCGGATTAAGGCCAAATAATGCTGGGATTCCCTATATCTTGCTCTTAAGGATTGAGGCTGGTTGGGTTTCCAACCTTTCGGGCTTCTACTGTAGGGGCTCCGGGGTTTCGGGGTTTAGGGTGAACCCTAAGGCTCCTAAGCAGGGTATAGGGTTTAGGGGTTTAGGGTTTAGGGTTTAGGGTTTAGGGGTTTCGGGGTTTAGGGTGAACCCTAAGGCTCCTAAGTGTGTCTTGGGCTTTCTGGGGGAGGGTTTGGGCTTTGGGGGCAAGGGTCCGGGATTTCACTACAAGGGTCCAGGAGCCCTAAGGTAAGGTTTAGGGGGTTAGGTTTTAGGGGTTTAGGGTTTAGGAATTAGGGTTTCAAATCCAAGGTTTGGGATTTAGGGGTTAGGGTTTAGGTTTCAGGGTTAAGGTTTTAAGGTTTACGGTTTAAGCTTGAGGGTTTGGGGTTTAGGGTTTGGGATTTAGGGGTTAGGGTTTAGGATTTAGGGTTTAGGGGAATTAGGGTTTAGGGTCGAAGGTTTGGGATGTAGGGGTTAGGGTTTAGGATTTAGGGTTTGGGTTTAAGGGTTTAGGATTTAGTATAGGGTTTCCCGATTTAAGCTTAAGGGTTTAGGATTTAGGGTCTAGGGTTTAAGGTTTAGGGTTTAGGGGTGTCGAACCTGAAGCCCTAGAAGCAGCTTTAAAGGCAAAAGCTCCATGTGCCCAAATATTACATTGGCCTTAATGTAGTCCCGGTTTATGTAATTTGGTGCCAAATCTGCCAATTAGGGACATGGGCTGTTGGGGAACCGCAAAGGTTTCTGTAATGGCTGTGTAAGGGTTTTCGTGTTCTAGGAGCTTGTACAAGTCGACGGTGTACCGAATCAGTTTACGACAGTGTAGAACGGGTGGAACAATCAAGGAACCTTGTAAAGCACCTTGCCTTATAGTGCCCCTTCAATAGAGCGCTTTGTCCAGGTTTCCCAGTCTATGTTTGTACCCAAAACCCTCCACCCTAAACGTCTATGTTTGCCACAGGTGAAAGCTCCTGCATTGGCTTTACCCTGGCGGTATGCGGCTTACGATCCAGGCCGCCTCAGGGGCTTGAGCATTTGCCTTGGCTCTCAGTGTTTTGGGGTTGTTTAGGGTTGAGGGTTCAGGGTTTCTTCTTTCGGAGTATCTACCCTGACGCACAGGTAGCACGACAAGCATGGAACAAAGATTCAGGATCATTGGTGCCTGGCTTTGCGCGCACTGTAGCTTAGTGCCACAAGGACAATCATGTTCCAACTCATTGACAGGCTCGGTTAGATTGTGGCGTGGAAATTGAATCGATGATGCAGGGTTCTGAAATTCTGAACACTATCTAATACATTTTTCGGTATCATAGCTTTATATACCTGTTGGAATTCTGCTCAAAGACCCCCTTCCTCACACCTCAGACTCGCTGAGTCGCAGAAGTCTCCTGCCGTGGACATCATTTGGAGCCCAGAACTTGTGCTTGCCAGAAGTACAAAATTAATGAGGATTCAGGCTTCGAATTCCAGATCAGCGGCAGCATTCAGACTACTGGAGGCAACGACAGACATGAGTACAGCCTGAAGCAGAAGGGGCAACCAGGAGATGCGTGCATCGAAATGGTAGGATAGCTAATTACCATGTCGTGATCCCAGTCATAGAGATGTAGTTTGCAGAAGATCCTGCATCACCGTGTCAGTATCTTCGTTCTCAGCACATCGGCGGACAGGAGCCACATGCGTTTGTTCGCTTGCTCTATATGCATTTGTATACGGACCTTTGACATGCATACTCATGAATGACATCTCATAGCCAAGACACCCCTCCGTGGATATCTCGTAGTGGCTGCCTGTCGATTCATTTGCTCCCTTCATAGCGCTGCGACTGAACCCGAAACCATAGGCCCGAAACCTTCAACCCTAAGCCCAATATCCTAAACCGTCTACAATGGAAACAGGGGCTTCTGAATCTCGCGCCCTCCCAGGTAGCCATTGACATCATGACATGAAACGTTTAACTGGGGCTTGTTTTTTTTTGAGTTTTTGGCGTGACTCGCCCTAAACCTGTCTGCTTAAACCAAGACTCATTATCTGATCCATTCATCGAGTCGGTGTTGTGGCTCTTCTGGCTCTAAGGGTTAAACCCAGGACCCTGGATCATTACTCAGCCAGAGGTATTAGTTGGTATTAGTTAGAGTTTGAACAGTTTTCGTTGGTCTACTTTGACCCCAAACGACCTACCTTCTCAGGGTTCCTGACCAAGGTCTCCTTACAGAAGTCCTCAGAAGGGTAGGTTTTCTAGGGTCCAGGTATGCCTGGGGGTTCCGAAGATCAGGTCCCACCTAGGAGCGAAAGCCCAAAGCTCATGCGTCGCGCTCTGCGTCTGCATTCCTCGGATCTCTCCCGTCGCATTGGCGCGGCCCTTGCCAAGGAGGCAGAGGATTTAGGGTTTATGGGGTTTAGGGTTTGCGAAGTTTACGATTCAGGTGTTGTCAATCTTGGGCCTACAGTAGGATATGTGTTGAGCCGAAGAATAGAAGGGAGCGCAGCGGGAGAGAGACAGAGAGAGAGAGAGAGAAAGACAGAGACAGACAGACAGAGGCAGAGAGGCAGAAGATTTTGTTCAGTCTCAAGTGAGTGGTCCTCTAAAAAATTCGGGGCCCTTTGCAGGTCCCCAATTCAGAACTTGCTATTGTTCATCTTGGTTTCTTCTTGTAGAATCCAGGACATCCGGAAAATGATAATGATACGTTCTTGGGTCTTGTAGGTACTCTAAAGGACCCCCCCTTCCCCCGCCTGAAGCCAAACTACATAAGATGGACCGGCTCATGACAGGATCGCCAGGATGTGGCGGAACTCCTGCTCCAGGCGACCCGGCACGCCTCAAAGGAACCGACGGCACTCGGGAAAGCCGCTCAGGAGAAGCCCTGCAACCTTACACCCGCAGCATGGTCTACCTGGACCCTAGAAAACCTACTTTTCTGACTTATGCAAGGAAATCCTGGTAAGGAACCCTAACAAGGTAGGTTATTTGGGGTTAAAGTAGGACTTGGGATTTAAATGGATTTGTACCGGTTGAGTGATTTATGCTTTTACTTTGCCAGGAACTCCGCCGCAGCCCGGCTGCAGCAACCCAGGTCTTCAAGAAGTTAGCGGCGCGCCGCAGGCTTCTCGGCGGCAGAATTGCAAACATGCAAACATCAGGCTACACTTGCACTCACACACATACACACACACACACACGCACACTCTCTCTCTCTCTCTCTCTGTCTCTCTCGCTCTCTTTCTTTCTCTCTCACTCACTCTCTCTCTCTCTCTCTCTCTCTCTCTCTCTCTCTCTCTCTCTCTCTCTCTCTCTCTCTCTCTCTCTCTCTCTCTCTCTCTCTCTCTCACACACACACTCTCTCTCTCTCTCTCTCTCTCTCTCTCTCTCTCTGTCTTTCTCTCGATTTCGCTTTCTTTGTCGAAAAACCTGTGTATGTATGTGCATATTTATGTATATATATATATATATATGAATATATATATATATATATATATATACATACATTCATACATACACCTGCACATAATGTATAATGTACATATATATGTATGCACGTATGTATGTATGTATGTATGTATGTACATGTGTATATATACACATACATGTATATGCATGTATATGTATAGATGGGTAGATGGGAGTTTCGTCAAAGAGGCCTATACACACAAGGCATATTCCGATTACAAGGACGAACCAAAGGAATATTGAGGCATAGCGGCATAGCATCTTTATGCATTAGAGGCCAGCAAGTATCAAGTGTGAGATCGCTCCGTGTGTGCGATGTTTGGGGCCAATTACTTTAGCTTGTCAAGACCTTGTCAAGAAGTGCAACTCCTTTGTCAGTGACATAAGCATAGCACTTGCTTCTAGGATCCTACAAAGGAAAGCAAAACGAATTACGATTGGGGGTCTATTCTAAGCGGGGTGCTGTAGCGGAAGCAGGAAACCTGACTTTGATCCCCTCTGGCTCTCGCTTGGTTTTTTTTTTTTTCAGGCCCGGGGTCTCATCGGAGCCTTTTCCGGGTCCCAACAGTCTGGGGATTGACAAGAAGGGGCTTCGTGGTTAAGCTCAGCTACTGTTCTCCCTGTCCGGGTTTTCGACCACGCAACACGTGGACCCAGGCCCGACCTGCTCTGCAAGCTGCTAGACCTCCTCTGGAAGGATGCACATTTTCAGACGATGCCCGTCCACGTGGCGATTGCCATTACCGCGTCCGCCAAGGGTAAGGACCAGTAGAACATGGATTTGTTGAATCGCTTTTTCATGTATCTGTGATCGAACCTCCCGGGGTGCCACGTCTGCTTTATTTGCTACAATGGGAGTACCCAATTCGCTAGCACTTTTGCTTGCGTTCTATGCAGGACTGGCAGCAATCTCTGTCGCTGCTGGCGCGCATGGGGAGTGCTGGACTCAAGCCAAACATCATCAGCTACAACGAAACTTGGTGTGAGCATGGCCATCAGCATGATCAGCATGCTAATATTGCTACGAGTAGTAGTGGTCTTGTCGTCGTCGTCGCCGTAGTAGTAGTAGTAGTAGTAGTCGTCGTCGTCGTAGTCGTCGTCGTCCTGGTAGTGGTAGTGGTACTAGTAATGGGTAGTGGTAGTGGTAGCAGCAGCAGCAGTAGTAAACCCTAACCCCAAAAGTGCCCTAAACCCTACATAAGCCCTAGATTACCCTCAGCCCTGAACTTACCCTAAATCCTACACGATCCTAAACCCCAAGCTGTCCCGAACCCTAAACTCTATGAACTACCCCAACACATGGTGGGTGGTTGTCAAAATTGTGGTCCCTTTTTGTGTCTCTATTATAATACGGCGCCTATTATATAGGGTACGCAAAAAGGGACCCTAATTTTGACAGCAACCCACATAAAACCTGTCAGGAGACGCTAAGTTCGTGTGAGAGAGCTCCTTGGCATACAACTCTGCATGTGCTCAGCGACATGCGACGCGAGCTTCTGCCGCCGGATATCATCAGCTTCAATGCCACCATCAGGACCTTAATAGCCCTGAACCCTAAACCCACCACCCGAAACTCCCAAAACCCTAACCGGTCGTCAGGAGTTTGCAGAAGAGCACACAATGGCAGCGCATTCTAGGGCTTCTGGAAGAGATGTCGCAGGCCAAAGTCACGCCAGACGTGATCAGCTGCACAAGTGCCATAAGTGCATGCGAGAAGGGCAGACAGTGGGAGCGCGGAATCATGCTCTTCCATGGAATGCCAGACAGAGGAACCCATCCCAACACCTTCAGCTACAACACGGCACTGAGCTCTTGCAAGCGAGGTGCACAGTGGCCACTAGCATTGCACCTCTTCAACAACATGCATGCTGCTACCATCCAGCGTGACATCATCACCTACAACACCACCATCAGCGCTTTCGAAACAGGCGAGCAATGGCAGCTTGCTTTGCAGCTCTTTACCGGAATGGTCAAAGATGATGTCGGCCCCAACGCCAACAGCTACTATCTGACAATCACATCTTGTGAGAACGGTAGCCACTGGCAGGTGGCTTTACAGCTCTTCCATGACATGCCACAGGCTGCTGTAACTCCCGACGTCTTGACTTACAACTCGATCATCAGTTCTTGTAGGGGTGACAGACAGTGGCAGCTTGCTTTGATGCTATTCAGCTCCATGCCACAGGCAAAGGTCAAAGCAGATGCCATCTCCCACAATGCCATTATCACCTGCTCGGAGAGATCCCGAATGTGGCAACTTGCGCTGCGGCTGTTTGATGAGATGCCCTTGGCAAAGATCCTACCTAACATCATAAGCTACAATGCAGCGATTGCCCTTTGCAGCAGAGCTGAGCAGCAATCTCTGGCGATGCAGCTCTTTGCTTCAGTGTCTTCAGCACGGCTTCAGCCGGACGTTACCTCAACGCATGGTTTAGGGTTAAGGAGTTTGGGGTTTAGGGTTTGGGTCTTGTTAGAACTTATAACCCCAAGCTGAAATGTCAATCCTAAGGCTTGTGGGCCCAGAGACCATGCTATGTAAGGCACAGGGCAGATTTATTCCAAGCGGTAAACTGGTCTCTTGATATCCGACAGGAAGCCTAAGGGTCCAAAGGCCCCAATAATTAGGTATTTGAGTTTTGGATAACAGTGAAGTAGGTTACTATTTAGGAGGGTACTTGGACCCTTAGGGGAAGCCATGTATCCTCAGGTTATCACTTACAATGCTGCTCTTCGGGCCCATATAGATGGCTCCTGGGAGAGTGCTTTGAGTCTGCTGCACGGCATGCCAGCGGCGCAGATCTCTCCTGATGTCATCAGCCACAACACTGCTCTTCGTGGTACTTAGAAATATTTTTGTATTTTTAGTTTTTGGTTATTGTAATTCCTAAGAAACAGCTAGGGTTCTAGCTTCAGTATAGTGCTTCCGGTCGGCAAGTCTAATATAAGGGCCTTAATAATTAGAATAGGGTTTCGCGATGTACTATACTACAATTATTATAAGGATCCCCTAAAAGGGTTTCGCGATGTACTATACTACGATTATAATAAGGAAGCCCCTAAAATAGTATAGGTAACTATGAAGGCCCCTACAGTATGTGTTAAAGTTAAAGTCTATCTAGGATGCCCAGTACTGCCCCTATTCCCTTTTTGTAGTCCTGGGTTCCTTCTAAAGTTACCCAATACCCGAAAGGGAGCCCTTTTTATTCCTAGGTTGCCGGGCATCCTAGCTATGTGTTATTGCTTCGGCCTTCGTAGGGTTTAGATGTGGAAAACCTGCGGAAGTCACAAAAAAGAAAACAACTCTAGGGAATGTTCGAGGGTTTGGGTTTAGGGCACTAGTCATGGGTCATGTTGTATGCAGTTGTTTTTTTGTTGTCTTCGTTGGTGGCAAACTGGAGGGTGTTGGGGAGACAGAGAGAGAGAGAGAGAGAGAGAGAGAGAGAGAGAGAGAGAGAGAGAGAGAGAGAGAGAGAGAGAGAGAGAGAGAGAGAGAGAGAGAGAGAGAGAGAGAGAGAGAGAGAGAGAGAGAGAGAGAGAGAGAGAGAGAGAGAGAGAGAGAGAGAGAGAGAGAGAGAGAGAGACAGAGAGAGAGAGAGAGAGAGAGAGAGAGAGAGAGAGAGAGAGAGAGAGAGAGAGAGAGAGAGAGAAAGAGAGAGAGAGAGAGACAGACAGACAGACAGAGACCCAGCCAGACAGAGACAGAGACAGAGAGGGGGAGAGAGAGTGAGATACATCTATACAAGTATATGTATATGCACATATACTCTAGAAAAAGAATCTGCGAGAAGCTGGGTTTAGGGTTTAGGGCACCATTGCCTGATATGAGTAGTCAGAGCATCGTGAGCAAGAGCGGCAGCTTACCACAAACTGTTGGGTACATATTGTAAGTACATGGGCATTCCTCACTGTATTAAGCTAGTTCGAGAAGCTTACTGCCGGGGCATGTGCAGGTTCAGCGTGTCCGGTTGGGCATTTCCTATAGAAGCCTATAATACCTACCAATATTGTTCCTTACGGTTCCTTATCATAACTGTAGTATAAAAGAGCCCAAAACCCTTTTCTAATTATTAAGGCCCCTACATTATGATTCCGACTTGGTGCATTCGTTGGTGGGCCAAGGCTATCAGCTGCTGCGAGAAGGCTGGACACTGAGATTATTCTCCGCAACTTAATCCCCAACCCCCAACCCTAAACCCTATGAGTTCCAGAAGAGCGATGAAAATCCATAGATCCTCTAATCCTAAACAAAACCCTAAGCCTTCAACCCTAAGCCCTAGAGGCCGGACAATGGGAGCAGTCTCTGCAACTGCTGGACCACATGCAGAGCTTTGGCTCACTTTAGGGCTGAGGGAAACGGAGGGGGTTTAGAGGACCCTAAACCCTACATAAGCCGTATGAGAGTTCTGTAAGGGTCTCGGGTTTCAGATGTGGGCTAGAAATTTCGTGTCTAGTGTTCGGATTCGGGACTGTAGAGTTTTGTTAAGTTTCGGGTCTGAGGTTACCCTAAGGCCCTAGGGATCTAAGGACTCATATATTAAGGCTTTTGGGCCCAAAGAACATACTATATGAGGCTTTTTGGCGTTTGGAGCTTGGGTTTCAGGGCTTGGGATCCTTCGCGTGTTAGGGTTCAGGGGGCGCCGAAAGCAAGTACTGTACAGGCCTAAATGGGAGTTTCCGAAAATTAGGGGTACCTGTTTTGCGGGTCCTTAAATAAGGATACTACTATTGGGGTATTAATTATGTCAGGGTCCCTTATTTTCGGAACCACCCAAATAATTACTAATACTATTTTGGTGATTTGGGGGTTCCTTACTATAGTTATAGTACAAAATCATAGTATAATGGGCCACAAAACGCCTATTCTGATTATGAAGGCCCCGAGATAAGAGCCACGTGAGGAAAGCTGCGGTATCCCGCGATGTGATCAGCTACAATGCATCCTGGCTCCAACTCAGCCTTGAGATCCCAATACAACTTAATTAAGGAATATATATATATATATATACATATAATATATATATATATATATATATATATATATATATATATATATATATATATATATACATACCTTAAATCATAATATTAAGCTCCGTATAATTTGGGGTATATTCCTTATTTAAGCGGTCTTGGGATCTCTGGGACCCGTCACGTTTTTCGGAGCTCAGTGTGGACATCAGTGTGTTAATGTCCTTGGTGGGTGCAGGGAAAAATAAAATCCTCCTAGCCTAAACCCCACACGTTGCCATAAACCTCAGAATTAAACTCTAAGCCCTTGTCAAGCATCATAAGCCCTAAACCCCCTAAGCCTTAGACCCCACGAACTCCTATAAACCGCAAGCTTTCATAGACCCGAGACCCATGGTCCGAATTCCCGAAACCCCGATGCCGCACCACTGCAAGCCCCCAGTCCCAAACCAGGGCCCTTGTTGCAGAGCCTGCCTTGGCTCAGTACTCCTGGGCTTTGGAGTACCATACTGCTGATGGACAAAATCCTGCATGACCTTAAGGACCTTAATTAAACTATGGGAATTATTGTATATTCCCTATATTGGGTCATGCAGGATATTGTCCATCCACAGTAAGTTAATATGTTTTTTCTTAAAGGAACCATTGTGAAACAAGAATGTATGCTGTTTCTCCCTGGTTACTTAGAAGCCCAGACTTATCTAATGGGAGAACTTGGCCGTATATACCTTGTCAATCCGGGACGGGTGATTGTTTGGGCCCGGTTATTGGAGAAGAGCGATTAGGTTTCTCCAGCATGTTCTGGCTCGGAACTGATATTAAGATTGGGCTAAGAATATGCGCCGCTAGGGAAGGTTAACAGCCTAGAGTAGAAAAAAATGGGAACTATTGTCTAAGGAGTGGGAACCCAGGGTTCCTTTAAAGGGAACCTAGGGTTCCTTTAACGGGAACCTAGGGTTCCTTTTAAGGGGAGGCTAGGGTTTGGAGTTAGGATTTAGGGTTTAGGGCAGCAACCCTGGAAGTGTAGGGGGCCTTGATAATTGGAATAGGGTTCCTGTAAAGGGGTCTATGAGGGCTACTATAAGGTATCCATAAACGTACCCTGGTTATAATAAGTAAGCCACAAAGCCCTATTGTAACTAATTGGACCCTACATTAGGGTTTAGGGTGTACAGTAGAAGCCCAAAAGTTGGAAACTCCATAGCTTCAATCCTTAAGAGTAGTGTATAGGGAATCCCAGCACTATTTGGCCTTAATCCGGTTTCCAACTTTATGGAGTTTACTGTAAGGCCCCTACAATATAGAACCCTATTATAGACCCCTTATTATAGATCCTTTTAAAGGAGCCCTTTAAGGAACCGTATTCCAACTTTAAGACCCGCTTTGGAGCAAGCTTCGTCAAGAGAGCAGGGCTGAAGAGGGAAAAGCATGGGGCAACCTACTTGGAGGGTCGGGGGACTTAGGAACTGGGTAGTAGGTAGACTTATAAGTACCCTAAAATCGATCCTAATTGGGGTTATGGTACTTATAGCTCTACAAAATAACTACTTAGTAAGTCCCCCGACCCTCCAAGTAGAAGGTTACCAAACTCAAAGGGCCCCAGCTATTGTTACGGGGGAGACTTCCCCAAGTTCAAAAAGTGGGTCCCAATATAGGAACCTTACATGAGTCTACATGGGTACTTTGGACCGTGTTGTGCTCTTGCAAGCCTAACCTCCTACCTAGCAAGTGACCTTTAGTGTTTTGGAAGTGCTGGATAGTGTAGCCCGACAGGCAGCGTTTAGTTCCCCGACGAAACAGCACAAGAAAGCATAAGTTTGTTCCGAGCCCAAACGGCTTAGCCCAACAGCGACTATTTTGGCACATGGCAGCTCGGGCTGCAGTGTACGGCTTTAAGTTTAGGGTTTGAAGTTCAGGGTTTGGGACTCAGAGTTCAGGGTTTAGGGATGTTTAGGGTTTAGGGTTTAGGGTTTGGTTTAAGATTTAATAGAGTAGGCAACATTTAACCTTGCTGGTGTAGTATAACCCGTATAATATCCCAACAGTTAATCTTCGGCTTCGCTAGGATATTGGACAAGTATTTTTAGGGTATGCGGTGTACCTCAATGAAGTTTCGAAGGAGTTCGCCAGACGTTGCCCTGGGCCCTCCGTACTGCTGATGGACAAAATCCTGCATGACCTTAAGGGCCCTAAACTATGGGAATTATGGTATATTCCTTATATTGGGTCATGCAGGATATTGTCCATCCACAGTAGACGTGGAAGCGCAAGTGCGTGACACAAAACACGGCTGATCCCAAGAAGTTGAACTTAGCCTGGAGGGCTTTAGATATTCGATTGTCGAGTTTAGTTTTCAGGGTAAACCCTAAACCCCTAAGCCCTAAACCCCAAAACCATTTTTTTATAGGGTTTGTCGGTCAAGGGCTTATTCTTGAAAGAACCCGATGCTCTCCATAAGTCAGCAGGCCGCCCTCAGCTCATGTGAGAAGGGGGACCAGTGGGAAGCAGCTTTGCTGCTTTTCACCAAGATGGCCCAGGTGGGGACTTGGAGTTCGTACTAGGTATCGATTTGGGATAACTTTCGGTTTCCCTTATTGTCTCATATAGAGCCATAAAGAGCCCTAATGATCGATAACTGGGGACTGTTGAAATCGGCACCTAGTGCAGGTTGTAAACCGTCAGAAAGGATTAAGAGAGCTTGTGACGGAATTCTGATGCTCGTTTGATGACTATAAAGCTCAGGTTCTATAGGGTTGTTTAGTTTCTGGCGTCGAAGCCTAATGTCATATGGCATATGGCATGGGTTCGAAAAGCTCTGTCTGAACAGAGACTGTAGATCCCGTATAAACTCCGCTATAGAGCCCGAAACCAGCAGGAACGACTGGAGCCGAGCATTGTGAGTCACAACGCGGCGATGAGCGCCCTCGCGAAGCTAGGCTCAGCAATGTATTGGGGTTCGGGGATGAGGGTTTAGGTTTCAGGTTCAGGGCCTATACATGAGTAAATACTATTCGGCAGGGTGCTTCAGTCTATCTACGATGATGCTGAGCTGCCGCCATTTGTGAGATGATGTAAGCGTCTTTACCTAGTTAGGGTAGGGCTTGGGGTGTTAATAGTAGAACCTAGATTCATTTAAAGTTTGATGGCTCATATTCTAAAGCAGTTGGGCCTTGTCAAACACGGGCTTGAGTTGTGGCATCCTGGTTTAGAGTTTAAGGTTTAAGGGTTGGAGGGGCTTGGGAAGGGTCGGTTAAGGTATGTATGGATACGGCTCAGGGTTCCGGTCGTAGGATTAATTAGTCCTGACATATGTTAAAGGTTGATTTTTGTTCTCCCCTAAACCCCCCAAACTTGGATTAGGCTGTTTGCAGATTTAGGAGACCGAAGTGCTTCAACGGAACTCGAAGGGTTTAGGGTTTAGGGTCTACAGGGGTAGGTGGGTAGAAGCCCAATGTCCAACATCAGCAGCTGCAGCGACAACAACAGCAATAGACGCAGCAAAGACAACAACCAGCAGCAGAAACAACAACAACAACAACAACAACAACAACAACAACAACAACAACAACAACAACAACAACAACAACAACAACAACAACAACAATAACACAGCTTCAAGGTTCATTGGTGGCCATGTTATACAATAGCCACCAGGCCACATATGGAGCTATGCTTACCCTACGCTCTACGCATACCACCGCTTGTGACTAATCACGAACCTTCAGGTGGGCCCCCAAGGAGTGCCCTGCTATACCAAGTCGATGCCTCCTTAAAACCCTTGACCCCTAGACCCTAAACGGCGACACCCTAAGCCCTTAACCCTAAACCCCTAAAACCCTAAACCGCCCAGACCCTTGACCCTAGACCCTGAACCCGGGCTTAGGAAGGGCAGTGAGTGGCAGCTCGCGATGCTCTTCTTCAACAATCTGGCGACAGCTAAGTTGAAAGCAGATGTTGCTGGAATTTTGCTAAGGGTTCGGGGTTTAGGATTTATGGACTTGTTATTTTGAGTTATATACCAGTAGGGGGAGACATGATCTCCATATTGAGGTCTTTTTGAGCTAAATGAAGTTCCATTTTTCGGAGAATCCAGGCTATCAGCTTTGCTGCGGTTGGCAGTGCTTGTGAGAAGGGCTTGCAGTGGCAGTTGGCATTGCATCTGTTCCATGAGATGCCATCTGCACGGATTTCGGTTGATAGTATCGCATGCAACTCTACGATCACGGCTTTCCATGGCAGTGACGAGTGGGAGATGGCATTGAATATGTTTCGGTCTATGCAGGATTTCAGCACAGCCAGGGACAGCATCAGCTACGGTACGACGATGACTGCTTGTAAGAACAGCGACCAATGGGAGCTTGCCCTGCAACTCTTTCATGAAATGCCTCGCGTATCGCTTGTTCCCGACATCCCAGCATATGTAGCAGCATTGAGCTCCAGCGGGAAGGGCGCACAGTGGCAGCTGGCATTGGCTGTTTCAAGGCGCATGGCGGCGCAATGCGTTCCAATGAATCTGCAAACATGGAATGCATTGATTACTGCCTGCAGGGCTGAGTGGCATCTAGCACTGCAACTTCTTGGGGAGATGCAACGAGATTTGGTCACTCCAGATATATTCACTTGGAACATACATTTGACTGTTATGGAACAATATGGAGACTGGCAAAGTTCCTTACAGATTCTCAGTGAGATGTCTGTGAGTGAGATCCTCCCAAACGTCCGATCCTATAACAGTAGCTTGCTCTCTGCTGCACAAGCAGGACACTGGGAAATTGCCTTGGTCTTGTTCGATGCTATGGAATCTGCGTCTGTTTCGCCCGACATTGTCAGCTACATGGCGGGCATGAGATCCTGCGAAGATTCCAAGCAGTGGCAATGGGCGTTGCATCACTTCTCAAACATTCAACGTTCCCAGATCTCTCCTGATGTGCCTGCCTACAAGGGTATGTACCATTGCTTCTGGAAGGCAGGCTGCTGGCAGCAATCTCTAAAGGTTTTCACGACGATGGTAGAAGCAGAGGTTCAGGGCGACCGGCTGTGCTATCACGCCCTCTTTTGCCAAATCGAAAACCCGGACATCGCCTACGAAGTCTTTAAGGATGCAGAGGCTGGAGGCTTATACCCACTACTCTTCCGCGACTGGGCTCTTTTATGGAATTCAGAGTAATTTCACCATACAATCATTTACTGGAGATCCCCATGATGGTAACTTCAAAAATGTCTTCCCGCTAAACCCCAAACCCTAAACCCCCTCGCAAGTCCCAGGAAAAGGATGGCCTTTATTGGATCTGCACGACCTCACAATTCACACAGCTTATCAGGCCGTACCCAGGCTGTTCAGTGGTACGCTTCTTTACTTTCTGGTTTCTGGGTTCCTATTACAAAACAAGAAGCCTAAAAAAGCATATACTTTTTCCCAGTGGGTTACTGAACAGCCCAGGTACGGTACTGGCTCTCGGAGGTGTTGGTGCCCCACATGCCGTCATCTTCGAGGATCAGGGTCTATATCATCACTGGCTGGGGCAGTTCTCTCCCGGAGCAAGCGAGACCCGGCACAGACTGCTGCAGGATAGTGGACAACGTGAGGTGAGTAAGCGGACTCTGACTTTCTCGCGGTCTCTACTCGCCATACAATCCCAAAGATTAAGCTCTATTTCCGCTAGGATTCTGGGAAATTCCAGGGAAGTAGCATCCACATGGACTATTTTTGGTTGGACATTCGCAGCTGTCCGCCGTAGAGTCATGATTCAGCGCAATCTTTTAAGCATGGGTGTCCAAGTTTGTTGCGGGTACATCGTTAAACGAGGTTGCCAGGCGGATATACAGCATTTCAAGAGACGAAGACAGGATATGTTAATATTAACGGGGTCCATACGATAGGGCTTCTACCTGGCACAGCTTGTGGGACAGAGCACGCGCACCTGTTATCTAAGCTTACAGTTGGTGTTCAGTTTGTTTCATATACATGCATGCATGCATGCATGCATGTAAGTGCGCAGGGTATGTATGTAAGCGTGTAATGTGCCGGTCGGTTTAGGAATATGGGCTCCTTTAATGCGTCGGCTCGGGGGCTAATTCCGACCGGTACCAAAAATTTGGGCGGTCTAATTAATGCGTTTTTTTTTGGCTGGGGGGATTTTTTGGTGGCGGGGCTGCGCTATTTGCTGACGGTCAATCTTAAGGCAGCCACGATCTAAACCCCCACCCAAACCCCCACCCAACCCTAAAACCCTGGCCCTGAAGCCCCAAAATCTCTTGCAGAATTGTTTCGCTTATTGGGGCGTCAGGAATGGGAGTCTGTACTACTACTGTACTACTATTGTACTATTGTACTGCTACTGTATGCCTTGCTTATTGGGGGGGGCTGCTAGGGTGAACCGCCGAATCGGGGATTGGACCCTAGCTCAAAAGAGGCCTCTCCAGTACTAAAGTTTGTATAAAAAATTCAGTTTTGGGTCCAATCTGGACCGACCCCCCTTTGGAAGGGTTTAGGGCTTAGGGTTTAGGGTTTGTTATAGGGTTTAGGAGTTTAGGATTCGTTAGGGTTTAGGGTTTGTTAAGGTTTAGGGTTCAGGGTTTAGGGTTTCAGGCGCTGGCTTTATGCTTTGCTTATTGGGGGAATGTGCTCACTGGCTTTATGCTTTGCTTATTGGTACTATTTCTGTACTATTACTGTATTACTACTGTACTACTGTACTACTGTGGTACTACTACTGTACTACTAGTGTACTACTGTACTACTATTGTACTACTACTGTACTACTACTGTACTACTATTGTACTACTACTGTACTATTATCGTACTACTACTGTACTACTATTGTACTACCACTGTACTACTGTTGTATTACTATTGTACTACTGCACTATTATTGTACTACTACTGTACTACTACTGTACTATTATTGTACTACGGTACTATAATCGTACTACTACTGTACTACTACTGTACTACTATTGTGCTACTATTGTACTACTGTACTATTATTGTACTACTACTGTACTACTATTGCACTACCACTGTACTACTGTTGTATTACTATTGTACTACTGCACTATTATTATACTACTACTGTACTACTACTGTAGTATTCTAGTATACCTTGATTATTGGGGGGGGATTGGACCCTAGCTCAAAAGAGGCCTCTCCAGTACTAAAGTTTGCATAAAAACTTCAGTTTTGGGTCGAATCTGGACCGACCCCCCTTTGGAAGGGTTTAGGGCTTAGGGTTTAGGGTTTGTTATAGGGTTTAGGAGTTTAGGATTCGTTAGGGTTTAGGGTTTCAGGCGCTGGCCCAGACCCCCCCGACCCCCGACGGCGCAGTCGCGCAGAACCGCAGACCCTGCACCCAAGCCAGCCCCCAAACCCCGGCACCTCCCAATTCCCTGCCACTCAGACCCCTGACCCCTGTCCGGGGCTACCGGTTCCGCACTAAACCGACCGCAACTTTTTGGTCTGGGGGGGGGGGGTACCCTAGTACTAAACCGACCGCCACATTATGTCTGTAAGTATGTATGTATGTATTACTGTAATGTAATGTACAGCAACATATGCATGCCTGCATGTGTGCATGCGTGTGCATGTACTTGTATGTGTGTTTGTGCGCGTATGTGCATGTGTGCGTGTATGTCTTGTGTATGTGTGTGTATATGTAGTATGTGTGTGCATGCATGTGTGTATGCAATGTGTATGTATGTGTATGGTTGTGTATGTATGTGTGTGTATGTGCACACACACATATATATATATATATATATATGTGTGTGTGTAAATGTTTGTGAGGTAAATATGTCTGCACAATATCTGTATGTATATATATATATATATATGTATGCATGTATGTATATGTATATGTATATGTATATGTATACAAGTATGCATATGGATATATGTATACATATATACCTAAACTTGTGTAAACACAAGTGTTGCATGCACTGACTTATGCATGTGTGCATGCAGGTACCTATGTATGTATGTAAGTATGTATGTACGTACTTATTTATGTATGTAGGCATGTAGGCATGCGTGTACACATGTATGCATGTATGCATGTATGCCTATGGCTGTCCGGCTGGCTGGCTCGAGGGAGGGAGGGATGGAGGGATGGAGGTGTCTGTGTGTGTGTGTGCGCACATGTATATACACACTCCTGTACATATTTCTGTGAACCCTGGCACCCGTTCAATTTGATTCGCCGTACTCAGGATTCCTCGCTCGGTGATGCAGGAGGCAGTGCTCACGATGCTCCAGGCTTTAGCCATTCCGGCCCGAGTGACGCCTTACAACAAAGGACGCATCGAGCTAGAGGTGGGGAAGAGAGATGTGCCAGAAACCTGGACATCGCACATTGGTACAGTTTCTGCCGACCTAGAAGCGGTTCATCCACAGGACTGGTTTGCCGGCGAAGTTCGCGAATTCGATGTGGAGGGACAGCAAAGACGAGGGGGTCTTGATCCAGAACGGATTGAACTTGGAATGGCCCACAAAGACTAAAAACTTATGGTACCGGATATGGGACAAATCAAGTTGTGGCCTGAAGCCCCAATGGCCGTAAAAAGTATGAAGGCTTGGGCTTCCGAACACTTCAGACTTTATATAATGAGGCTTAAGTTACCATAAAAGGCCTTACTAATTCAGTGCTATTATGGTACGCTTGTGTGTTTGGGGCTTTACGGTTTGAGGATTGAATCTTCATGGGTTTTACCGCCTGTAGGACGTTTTGGAATCAGTGTCAAGGTCTTACTGTGCTTAAGAAGTTGCGAAGAGCCCAGAATCTACACGAAGCTTTTCATGAGACCCGCCCCAAAACTGGAACCGTAGCTGCGTAGCTGTAAGCCTTTATCACCACAAACCCTAAGAGAGCCGCTAGGCGAAATCGCCAGTGGGCTTACTAAGCATACAGGATCTCTGCTAGCAGGGCACGAAAACGGGACCCTTTCTATCGGAAGAACCTCCGAACCGTAATCACCGTATCGCCACACTTCAGATCAAAACCCTAAGCCCCCAACGAGAGACCCGGCAATCGAAACGCCACAGGTGCCCCGCTTGCTGGCGGTGCGAGGGGTGGTGGCCCTGCATTTTGGTCTGCCCGGGAGGGTTTTGGGGCATGTTCTCAGATCTTCCAGTAATTAAGGTATGCCGAAAATGTACTAGGATCCCTAAATATGATTTTAGGCTATTCTTTTGTCAAATGGATTTTGGAAGGCGTCTGCGCAGGAGGACGAGAAGGGGTTTGTTACGGACGTTCACAAACAGTCTGAATAAGACTATTCTCTACTGAACGAGTAGCTACTGCTGGGGCAGCAAGTACCCTATCTGGCAGAACGTATTAGAGTTTTGCGATAGATTATACTTAACTGTAACACGGACTCCCAAAATGACTCTGAAATTTGCGATTATTTAGCGCTGAACCCTAAACGCCTAAACCCTTAGGCTCTCAGGACTCATATTTTCAGGTTATTCTGAACCCAAAGACCATACTAGTACCATATAAGGCTTTTGGGCTATTTTGAGCCTTAGGGTAAACCCTAAGGCCCCTACATTACCGTCTGTCGGCTTGTTTTTTGGTACTTTTGAGAGCTACCCGTCGACCTTTGAGAGCTCTCCTGGGAGTGGTGCTCATGGCCTAGAGGGCTGTATATGATGGGTTTAGGGTTTACTTTAAGGGTTCTAACACTTTAGGGAACCTCAAAATGTAGGATTTCTGAGACCCCAAAGAGACCCAAGACCTCTCCCCAAAAAATTCCGGACCCTCCTAAGGAGATACCTGGACCCTTAGGGTAGGGTTCAGGGTTTAGGATTCAGGGTTTAGGATTTAGGGTTTGGGTCTAGCATTTGGGGTTCAGGGCCTAGGGAGTTTATGCATATAGTTTCTTCGGGTTCAGGGTTTTGTGCATCGGTGTTTTCAGTCCTGCCTGCTTCGAGCTCTGGGGTTTTGACACACCGCTGTAGGCTCTGTCCCTCTGATTTATCTTTCCCTGTACGTACCACACCGTCTGCCTATGTCAGAGCATGTAGACTCAATGTAGACATGGTTGCATGTAGGCACATGGAACCTTGCAAGTGTCGCAAGATGCAGGCTGGACCACATCTTGTTCCGTTGGTTCCGGTTGGAAGATTCGGCCGTTTCTTGGCATGCACAAAGAGTGCTAGAAGCAGGGCGAACCGAACCTTAGGGCTGTTGGGAATTGATTTCTAGGTTTTCTTATCATAAACAGGTGAATTTCAATGTTTTGCTGCCAACAACTGGGTAACACAAGGTCACAGACAAGAGTTTTGGGTAGCATCGCCTAACCCTGCTAGTGCCCCGAGAACAACCTTGAAAGGAACCCGCAACTTTAGCATACATTACCCGAATACTGAATAGTATAGAGGTCTCCATGCTTCCCCACAACATTCCTGACGGTTCCTCATGTACAATAACCACACTATAATTCAACAAAAGCCTACTCTGATGGTTAAGGGCCCTATGTCAAACCCCAACTGTAACCTGCATAGAGGCCATTCCAGAGCTCTTTAACCGAATCCTGGAAGGAAGCTTACTCTCAACCCTAAACCCGAAGCCATAAACAGTAGAGTCTCATTCTTAAGGCCCTTATATTAGCTACTTGAATGCCGAAGTGGGAAGCCTCATAGCTGAATCTTCAACTGGCACTGCAGCTAGCCATCCGCGAAGGGTAGGGGTTAAGGCTGTATAGGTTTAGGGTTCATGTTAGGGTTAGGGTTTAGGGGGCTGATAGGCATGACTGAGGTTCAGGAGAGACTGCTGTTGATCAGAGTTTTCTTGGGGCAGTCTGTCGACCCGGCTTTCCCAGGCAAAGTTTCCCACTCAGTCCTTCGCTTCGCTATAGAGCCACCATGCTGGAGTGTCCAAAATTGGTGGTACCTTCTCTTGCGGTCCTTATAACATGGTGTGGCAGTAGCGGTTACCACATGGAGCCATGCTGGTTGTGTGCAGGCTGCGTCTAAAGTCGATGCAGACAAGGTGGACAGTGATGCCTTTTCAGGGGTTCAGATGTTTAGGGTTTGAGGGTTTATAGGGTTTAGGGGTTAGGGCCGGTCAGGGTATAGGGATTGAGATGTTTTGGTGCGACTTTCGGGCAAAGTTTTCGGCCATCAGTGGCCCGTGATGTCAAGTCTAGATAGAAGTGGGATCCGCTGCAAAAACCGCTTCTAGATTCATGAGATACCCCCAACCCCTTCGCGAGCCTTGGCAGCTTCTTAGATGCTTTTCGAAGACTCTGGCCTAGCAGTAGAGTAGGTAACCTGTAACCTTTTTGGGGTGGTATAGCCCCCTAAAATCCCTATACCCAAAAACGTTTACCTTTAGTTCCCCATGATACCCGACAAGTAGGCTAGCCTGAAAACCTGCGGCCTTAGCCCGAAGTCCTTCTGCCCGTACCCTGAACCGAAATCCGAAACCCTTACCCTTAGGCTCTAAGGACTCATATTTTAATGCTGTTGGGCCCAAAGACTATACTATATAAGGCTTTTGGGCTATTTTGAGCCTTAGGGTTACACCCCAATGCCTAATCTTACATGCGCTGAAGGCTCGGAATTTCGGAAGTCCACAAACCCAGACCTTCAACCTCAAAGCCTCCAGACTCCTGACGCCAATACCCGAACCCCTTTAAACCCTAACCCCTAATCCCGAAACCCTAAACCCTAATCCACTAATCCCGATACCCTAAACCCTCAGACTCCTGAACCCATAGAAGTAGGGCCAACCACGGCTCCGAGACTGATCACGCTGAGGAATTAGATGGCATTCTTGCTCTATCTATCTATCAATATACATATATATATATATGTATATATATATATATATATACATATATTTATATGTATATACACACACATACATACCCCTAAGCCCTAAGGGTCCAAAGGACCCAATAGTCAGCTACTCGGGTTTAGGATAGTGGTGAAGTAGGTTACTATTTTGGAGAGTATATGATAATTAGGTACTTGGACCCTTAGGGTACCTGTAAGAAAGGCAAGTCCTTTGGCCGTGACGGTATTAGCTACGAGTTTCTGCAAATCTCCTCTCAATCTGGTCTGCGTGATCATATGGTCGAATACTTCAATAACATTCTGCTAGGCTGTGTGGAAATTCTTGCAGAATGGTTGGTCTCTCGCATGACCTTCATTCCCAAAGTCGTGGCACCGCTGTCTTCCAAAGATTTGGGGCCTGTGGTACTCTCGTCGGTGCCGGGGAAAGTCTTTACCACGCTCCTATTGCACAGACTGCGAGCCCATTTGCTTCCAACGATTGCGGGAAAGCTCAGCTGTGTACCCGGTTCACAGACATTGGAGGGGTCTTGCACTCTCCAACAATGCATTCGTCTATCGCAGGAATACAAGCAAACCGCTTGTAATGGCTAAACTCGACATACTATATAGTATGGTCTTTGGGCCAAATGCCTTATATAGTATGGTCTTTGGGCCCAGAAGCCTTAATGTATGAGTCCTTAGATCCCTAGGGATACACAGTGCCTTTGACCATTTGGAGCACCGGGCCGTGTCACACTTCTTTCAGCTCCTCGGCCCGCATTGCGAAGCGGAGCCCAACATAAGGCTTTAAAAACCTAATAAAGCTCGGTAAATCTCTTGGATAGGAAAATGCTCTAGTAATATAGAGGAGGTAACCTTTACTCTTTGGTGGGTTCTATAACCCCTATGTAATCCCAATCTACTCCCAAAGCTTAGCCTTCAGTTGCCCAGGATGCTGGGCAAATAGGATACCTTGTAACATCTTAAGCCCTCAACCCATAAACCATAAGCAACAGCTAAACCCAGAACCCTGGACCCAAACCCTGTCAAGCCTCAACGCCTAAACCCTAAACCCCTAAACCCCCCTAGACCCCCAAACCCTAAACCCACAAAGCCCGAAATTCCTAAACCCCTAAGACGGAGGCCCCTGGACTTGGTGACGACCTGACGCGCTTGGGTCGACTGGTGAAGCCAGAGACTTGGGTCCACGGGGTGTTAGGGCTTAGGGACTTAGGGGTTTAGGGGTTTAGGAGTTCAGGGTTTAAGGGTGTTTAGGGTGTAGGGGTTGAGGGGTGTAGGATTTAGGGGATGTAGGGTTCAGGCGTTTAGGGTTTAGGGGTTCAGGGTCTGCGGTTAAGTTAAGCGGGTGTAGGGTTTGCTGTCAAGTGGATCTGGGATTTAGGCTTTAGGGTTAAGAGTGTCTGGTGTGTAGGGTTTAGAGTCACGTCC